GCCGAGGTTGCTTTGTTTCTTCTCGATAGGTGAGTAACACCGTGTCTGCGCCGCAACAGCTAAAGTCTGTCTAGTACACTGGACGCGACAAAGCGACCGCTGAAAATCATTTGAAATTTGTCAATACGTCATGAATAGAACGCAGCAGCAGTTTTCTGTCGTGGATTTGTCGTGTCGTGCCGCACCGCATCCAGTGTAGGCCATAGATATGTATATACAGTATATCTATGGTGTAGACAGCATCACTGATTATAATGAGTTCTATAGTATTTTGTCGCGGCGCACCGCTTGCGTCCGATGTAGACACGGTGTAACATTGATTTTGCTTTGTTTCACAGAACTAATCGCCTGGGTTGTGTACGTATGTGTGGGGCGGAGCTATCAAAATAGGGGCGAGACACTTTTGGGGTAGGGGCGTGTTTTTTTTGGTGATTTCAAATGTCAACATTGGCTACCAGAAATCACTTACCCCACCTTTAATATGTTAATATGTATGATGTAATACTACATAGAAAATCAAAACAGCTTGATAATTGAGACTGTTTAGGTTTTTTGGGGATAAAAAAAAAGGAGTGAATGGATTTTCATCATTGTAGGGTGGTTGTTGCTAAGACACATTCATATGGAAACGCCATGTAAAAGTGAATTTTGCATCCAAGGACCCCTTTAAAATTTTGTCTATTTTTAGGAAGGTTTATACATCTTTAAAGCATGACAAGAAAAAAAAAAATATATATATATATATATAAACATTATTAAGAAAAAATAAGCAGTGTTGGAGGCTAGTTAAAAAATAAATAAATAAATTAGAGAAAAAGAGAAAAAAAAGCCAGAAATAAAATATCCAGACAATAAAACAATGAGAATTTGAGTGAGAAATAGTGTTTAGTCATCACGGAAAAATGTCACAATATTAAAAATGTATTTTCTCATTTTAAATAATTTTCATATAATAATGCTAAATATGTTTTCCTATTTTTCTCTAGTGTTTTTGTGGTGAAATATAACCTGCACATGTTTTCATGAGATTCACCCCTTGAGGCCATTCAAACACACACTGTTGCCGAGGTTGCTTTGTTTCTTCTCGATAGGTGAGTAACACCGTGTCTGCGCCGCAACAGCTAAAGTCTGTCTAGTACACTGGACGCGACAAAGCGACCGCTGAAAATCATTTGAAATTTGTCAATACGTCATGAATAGAACGCAGCAGCAGTTTTCTGTCGTGGATTTGTCGTGTCGTGCCGCACCGCATCCAGTGTAGGCCATAGATATGTATATACAGTATATCTATGGTGTAGACAGCATCACTGATTATAATGAGTTCTATAGTATTTTGTCGCGGCGCACCGCTTGCGTCCGATGTAGACACGGTGTAACATTGATTTTGCTTTGTTTCACAGAACTAATCGCCTGGGTTGTGTACGTATGTGTGGGGCGGAGCTATCAAAATAGGGGCGAGACACTTTTGGGGTAGGGGCGTGTTTTTTTTGGTGATTTCAAATGTCAACATTGGCTACCAGAAATCACTTACCCCACCTTTAATATGTTAATATGTATGATGTAATACTACTCAGAAAATCAAAACAGCTTGATAATTGAGACTGTTTAGGTTTTTTGGGGATAAAAAAAAAGGAGTGAATGGATTTTCATCATTGTAGGGTGGTTGTTGCTAAGACACATTCATATGGAAACGCCATGTAAAAGTGAATTTTGCATCCAAGGACCCCTTTAAAATTTTGTCTATTTTTAGGAAGGTTTATACATCTTTAAAGCATGACAAGAAAAAAAAAAATATATATATATATATATAAACATTATTAAGAAAAAATAAGCAGTGTTGGAGGCTAGTTAAAAAATAAATAAATAAATAAATATTTTAGAGAAAAAAAAGCCAGAAATAAAATATTCAGACTATAAAACAATGAGAATTTGAGTGAGAAATAGTGTTTAGTCATCACGGAAAAATGTCACAATATTAAAAATGTATTTTCTCATTTTAAATAATTTTCATATAATAATGCTAAATATGTTTTCCTATTTTTCTCTAGTGTTTTTGTGGTGAAATATAACCTGCACATGTTTTCATGAGATTCACCCCTTGAGGCCATTCAAACACACACTGTTGAAAATTCAAGCCACAGCGTCTCATGACTCCAATCAGCAGTGATGAAAACAGCATCAAATCTACTGATATCTGCTTCTGAAGTGACTGCTGGAGTTTATTCGGAGGAATATCGCCATGGAGAGGGAAAGCGAACTGAAAACAAGCCACGAGACTATTGACGGACTCTAATGGAGGATGCGCAGGAGTGAACGGATCGATACGAACCGCCGGCTGCTCAGTTACGACACACAACCCGTCTCTCTTCTGGCACCAATGCAAATCAGACTATGCTCTGAATATGCAGATATATTCAAATCACACCCAGCACTGTAATGTCACAATATTAAAAATGTATTTTCTCATTTTAAATAATTTTCATATAATAATGCTAAATATGTTTTCCTATTTTTCTCTAGTGTTTTTGTGGTGAAATATAACCTGCACATGTTTTCATGAGATTCACCCCTTGAGGCCATTCAAACACACACTGTTGAAAATTCAAGCCACAGCGTCTCATGACTCCAATCAGCAGTGATGAAAACAGCATCAAATCTACTGATATCTGCTTCTGAAGTGACTGCTGGAGTTCATTCGGAGGAATATCGGCATGGAGAGGGAAAGCGAACTGAAAACAAGCCACGAGACTATTGACGGACTCTAATGGAGGATGCGCAGGAGTGAACGGATCGATACGAACCGCCGGCTGCTCAGTTACGACACACACAACCCGTCTCTCTTCTGGCACCAATGCAAATCAGACTATGCTCTGAATATGCAGATATATTCAAATCACACCCAGCACTGTAAAAGACAATCTTCTTGGCAGGGATCTCGCCGCTGAACGATTCTCGTGCTGAAATCTGTTGAAATGCAATCAAAAGTTTGAAAAAGTTCACATTCCCAGCATCCACTACTCATTTTACTTCTATCACGTGATGTATTTTTGAGCAAAACAGGACATTTCAATGAAAAACGTTGACTGAGACCTCAGTATTACACAAGATGCATGTAAGAAGAGCATGCATTTATTTGCACAAAGCACTGGACAGCAAGCTCATTTACTCTGGCTTTGACTGAGCAGCCCAAAGCAGCAGGAAGTTGTGCAACACATTTGAATTTGACAAAGATGTCTCTGTTACAAACCCTTATGAGACCCAAATGACGTGATTCATTTGAAGTTGAAAACCACATTAAACAGCAAAAAAAAAACTTCCGCCAGGAACAAACTTAAATAAGCCATTTCATCCTCACATTAGCTGGGATTTTGACAGAAATGTTGCATAATTATACTAAATATCATATTGCAGTATTCACGTTATATTTGAGAATAGCAGTGTGTTTATATCTGTATGTTGAATGAAAATCAATGCTTGATTGTGCGGTTACACTGGACGCAAACTTCATATTTTTGAAACAGAAAAACGGTCAAATGTTTGGGGTAATTAAGATTTTTTTGGGGGAAAGGAATTCATATTTTTATTCATTAAGGATGCATTAAATTGATCAAAAGTGAGAGTAAAGACGTTTATAATGTTACAAAAGATTCTATTTCAAATAAATGCTGCTTTCTGTGCATCAAAGAATCCTGGAAAATACAATGTATATCGGTTTCAACAAAAATGTGATGCAGCACAACTGTTTTCAACATTGATTTTCTGCTCAAGAAACATTTCTGATTATTATCAGAATATTATACTGTTTTCTGAAGATCATGTGACACTGGAGACTGGAGTAATGATGCTGAAAAAACAGCTGCTCATCACAGGAATAAATTCTATTTTAACAGGTATTCACATAGAAAACAGTTATTTTAAATAGTAAAAATATTTCACAATATTACTGCTTTTGCTGTATTTCTGATTAAATAAATGCAGCCTTGGTGAGCAGAAGAGACTGCTCGTGTTTATGATAATTTGGGCAGCAGAGTTAAATATTTAGCTTTACGCAAGAAAAAAATATCTGTCAATGGGGTCAGAAAAAGCAGCGGAAATCAAACGGAAACAAGTTTATTTTTGGCAGGTATTTTTTCTTGTTTTAATTATAAACTCTTGTTTCAGTTTCTTAGAAAACTAGACATCTTGCGTCATGTTGTATCTCGTAAATGAAAGCCAATTTCTGACACATAAGGGGAAAAATGCTTTGGTGAATCATAATTAAGGAATTCAAATGTCATAATATGAAATATACCAACATATAGTCAATATTTCATCATCATAATCAAGATTACATAATTATGACAAAAAAGTCCATTTACTTTCGATGTCATCATTATTACGTAGTATGTTAATTTAAGTTTTTAATCTAATAATTTCATTTTTTAATCTCATAATGACGATCAAAATTTTGACTTTTTAGGTAAATTTAGATTTTTTTTTTTATCTCAGTGACTTAATTTTGTCTTTGTCTTCTCATAATAATGACGTTTTTATTTCATAAGTATTTTTTCTTGTTTTAATTATAAACTCTTGTTTCAGTTTCTTAGAAAACTAGACATCTTGCGTCATGTTGTATCTCGTAAATGAAAGCCAATTTCTGACACATAAGGGGAAAAATGCTTTGGTGAATCATAATTAAGGAATTCAAATGTCATAATATGAAATATACCAACATATAGTCAATATTTCATCATCATAATCAAGATTACATAATTATGACAAAAAAGTCCATTTACTTTCGATGTCATCATTATTACGTAGTATGTTAATTTAATTTTTTTATCTAATAATTTCATTTTTTAATCTCATAATGACGATCAAAATTTTGACTTTTTAGGTAAATTTAGATTTTTTTTTTTTATCTCAGTGACTTAATTTTGTCTTTGTCTTCTCATAATAATGACGTTTTTATTTCATATTTATAACATTTTATCTCATGGCTTTTTGTCACAATTATGACTTCGTGTGTCATAATTTTAACTTTTCATCTAAATGACATTTTATTGTATATTATTTCAACTATTTGTTATGACTTCTATGTCTGATTACTTTTTATGTAAATTTGGACTTTTCATCTCATAATAATTCCATTTTATGCCATAATTATATATTTTTGTTCCCCTTACGTGGCAGAAACGGCCTTCCATACATGTAAAAATTAATTTAAACATGTTTAGATCTTATGATATTGGAAAACAAGACAGAAATACTGAGGTAGAAAAACAGTTTTTGCATTGTGAGGGTTTGATCAAATCTCTGTCGAAATATAACAATACTAGCAGTGACGCTTGACTAATGAGTCAACAGCTGAAAACATGAAATGCTGATCTGTGCTGATCTGGGGTCAGTGTTCTTGCAGTGCTCAGGGTACAGATGAGAGGAGTTCAGAGGAAACCAGCGGCTGACTGACTGCAGAGGATACTGAGGATTTCAATCAAAAGCTGGAAGAGGATTGTGCGTCGTCGACCCAAACAATGATTCAGCAGGAGCTGAGGATGCTGTGTCTTTATGTGTATTGAGAACTAATATTTACAGAATTACACCGATATGAGCAGGGTGTGTGCTGTTTATACAGTGATTATTCATGCATTACTGAAGCTTAATATTGGGTCAACACAATTTCACCCTTGATTTTGCAACACTTACATCTCAGAAACGACTATGTTTGTAATTTGTTTAAACAAAAATGCTGAATGCATGTTTTTCTTCTGTTGATCCAGTTTGGACTATAAAAGTGTTTTAGCGTTATGCAAAAAATGATTTTCTTTGTTTTTTTTGTTTGTTTGTTTTATATATATATATATATACAGGGTTTGAAATTAACACCCGCCAACCCTAACGCTGTCAAATCACTAGCCAATTTGGCGGGTTACTTTTCGTAAATTATGTTCACTCGTTAATTTCTTTGGGAAGTTCATGCAAGCCAAATCTGCGCAGGTTTAGCGCAAATACTGAACTCGTGAGACATCATTACATTATCGAGTATATCGCGAAAGCTAAACAAAACACACATACAGAGGCGTGCATCCGCGACGAGACGAAGTCTGGTTAGACCAAAACTAAGGATTTAGTGCGCGTGCGCATTTAGAGTGGTTCTTTCACTGCATGATTCAGTCTATTAATATGCATTAAGAATGATCACATAATTCAAGATAAGGAGGCAGAAAATGTATATATTTATATCAGTTCATATAGTTAATCAATATCACACGAAGAGTGACGTTTTTTCTTACAAAATCAGCATGGTTACAAATGTGATATTTATTTTATACAACAGTTCAATAAACAATAAGTTAATATCAAGAGACTTACATTTTCACGCTATTTCTGTGCTATTTCGCCAACAAAAAAACATTCCAAACTCAGCCACAGTACTGTTTTGTGTCTCTGAGCAACATGACGCTGTTTTGTTCCTGAATGAATCAACCGTTTAAATGATTCGGTTCAACCGCAATGACTCACTTAACAGTGACTTGCTGCCACCTACTGTTGGTTTTAATTTCACATTTAAAGTATCTTTTCATTTTTTTAATAATTTCAAATATCAGTATTCAACATTTCATGTGTAAACACATCTAAATGCCACTTCATATGCAACTTCTGCAAAGATGAATTTTATTGATACTGATTTAATTTGTTTAGTAACAGCCTAAATGTATAATTATTATAATTGACTGATTAAATGTAAGAATTTGACTCAAAAGATGATGCATACTTTTAGAAAAAAAAATGGCTTTATAAAGGTAAGAATGCCCATAAAAGTTAAAAATCAATTTAAAATTATTGGAAAAGATTCATTTATATCACTGCTGTGAACTGACCACACAGAATATGAAGAATATCAAAAACTTTAGGAGTCAGCTGT